TCTAGTCGAACACACCGGCAAGTGCTGCAGGCTTATTGGCTCACTGACGCTGATGAGATTAACCCCTTACGTATCAAAATTTGGTACCGAACGACGAGACGTTTTTCGATACGCGATGGTATCGAGGCAATTCGGTCGGTGCCTAAAAAGTATCGAACTCGATACCCAGCCCTAATCACCCCAGTACAAAAGAAGTCACCTGTGTCCTGCCTGAATGACTGTCGTCCCATAGCACTGACCCCAATCATGATGAAGTGCTTTGAGAGGTTAGTCATGCACTATATCAAATACAATCTTCCCAACACACTTGACCCGCTCCAGTTTGCATACCGTCCAAACCGCTCCACGGACGATGCCATTTCCTCCACCCTCCACCTGGCTCTTACCCACTTAGAAAACAAAGACTCTTATGTTAGAAGGCTGTTCATCGACTTCAGCTCAGCATTCAACACAATAATCCCACAACAGCTCATCAACAAACTAAACCTGCTGGGCCTAAATACCTCCCTCTGTAATTGGATCCTGGACTTTCTAACCGGTAGACCTCAGTCAGTCCGTGTCGGCCACAACACCTCCAGCACTATCACACTGAGCACAGGTGCCCCTCAAGGCTGTGTACTCAGCCCGCTGCTCTTCACGCTGCTGACCCACGACTGCACTGCCAAGTTCAGCTGCAACCACATCATCAAGTTTGCTGATGACACAACTGTGGTAGGTATCATCAGCAACAATGATGAAACACCCTACAGAGAGGAAGTGGCACAACTGGTTGAATGGTGTGGTGCAAACAACCTGTCCCCTCAATGTGAGTAAGACAAAGGAGGTTGTGATGGACTTCAGGAGAAACTCTGGTGACCACTCCCCATTAACCATCTACAGCTCGACTGTGGAGAGAGTCAGCAGCACAAAATTCCTTGGGGTGCACATAACAGAAGACCTCACCTGGACCACCAACACTACATCACTCTCCAAGAAGGCGCAACAGCGGCTCCACTTGCACCGACTTAAAAGAGCAAGTCTCCCTCCACCCATCCTTACAAGATCTAGTATCTTGATGGATCCGTAAATCGTTTTTTCCTGTACCCGTACTTTGAAGGTGCTTATTCACATTAATACACGCAAATACTCACCATGGGTGAGCGTCCGTAGGCAGCGGCAGCGGCTGCGGCTGCACTCATCTGAGGAGAGATATGAAGGCCGGCATAGACTCCAGGACTGGTCAGAGAACCATTAATCTCATGGTGGCTCATCATGGCAAAGGGAGTTGGGTAAGAGAGGGGGGTGCGCAGAGCAGGGGCGGCTGCAGACACATAGACACACAGCCAATCATAAATCAGCATCAGTCAACCGCGAGGAAAGGAGCTGAACTTGGGAGCAGGGAGATAAATCTCAATCAAAGACCTGCCTACACTGAGCTGCTTCAAAGATGAATTTATGAAAGCTGCTTTAAGCTCTGTTAAAAAGGCAAGCCTAAAAATTTGCTGAAGCTTTGCAAAGCTCTCCCTTTTTCATTACAATATTGGCTGTGCGTTGTGCTGCATGCTTGCACTCCAAGTGACAGTATAGAGTGAAACGACATCTCTGTGGACTCTGATTATGAACTCACCAAGAGCTTCCATTGGAGGCTTGCCTAGGATGGGCCGCAGCCCAGGGGTGGTGCTGGTACCCGGGGTGGGGGCATCGTTACGAGGCGTGGGGGTGTTGGACTTCAGACCAGGCGTGGAGGATTTGTCATTCTGCAGATGGGAGAGAAGAGAGGGAAGAGAAGAGAGAAAGAGAGATAGAGAAAACAGAGTTAAAATCCCTCCAAACGAGGCAGCATCCAGGCAGAAGATTTAAGTGCCGGCAGAACCTAATCCAATCCAATTCTGACAAACTCACTACTCCTACGAAACTATAAACCCTGCTATTTATCCCCAAACCCATTACTGCTACAATGGAGATGAGGCTCGTTTTATCCTTCTCTCGCTTCTCCCTCTAATCTTTTTTTTTGATGCAGAGGCCCAGAATGGTTAAACGCATTGAGTTATTAGCAGGGAAGACACGACTGATCCAGCTATGGGAATGCATTATCCCTGACATTTACAGATGTATTTAAAGCCGAGGCTGGGAAACAGACATTCACTCCTGAGCCATTAGAGAGAGTGGAAGATCACAGGGCGTTCAAGCTTCCCTAGCTGCCCCCTCCCATCAAACCATTTTCATCAAACATATCCTATAATTCTGCTTCAATGGCACAGACCCAGATTCTATCAAATCTTATATGCAGCGCCGCCGATTATTACAGTAGCAAAATCCGGATAAATAGAGCTGATACACGTAAATTCAGCATTCGGTATTAAATGTAGCCCGTGTGTATGTGTGAGTGAGAGAGAGATCCGTACATGGCCGTGCTCCTTGTTCTTAGAGGAGGGGGTGCTGCCGGTGGAGGCCACAGAGGCAGGGCTGTTGGGCGTATCCTTCTTTGCTGGGCGGGGCTTATCTATGCCATTCTCAGGAGGGGAGTGGGCAGGGCTGCCTCTGGGTGTGGCAGGGTCCTAGAGCACAAAAATATAACAGGAATGAGTTAAATATCGAAAATAACATGTGTAAGATACGACATTTCAGTTAAATTAATAAAAGCACATGAAATTTTATATTTTAATAATTTAGTTGCAACATAAAATGTGTTCCTCACCTCGTTGGAAACGTCAACCACCAGATCATCACTTTTGTCTCCGTCACTGTCCTGAAAACACAACAAGCCATCTAGTTAGCATCCCTTTTTGGGATTTTGTTACAGAAGAATCTTATGTTACAAGTCCATGTCACATTACTCACATATCGGCTCATGCTGTCCTTGTCTTCCACTTTGCGTTTCTTGGAGTCCAAGCTATAATCGGAGGAGGCGCGGTGTTTCTCGCTGGTTGTGCGCAGGCTGTCTGATGGAGAAATCGAGTTGTTCTGAGAAGGAGAAAGAGGGGAAGTATTCAAATGTGCCATCAGACTGCAGACTTTAACCCAACTCATTCATCTATACAAGTAGATCTATCAGTAGGGTTTTAACAGTGTTTTGTTCCACAAGAACTCCAAATTACTTTTAAAATATCCTGAAGGCTGCATCAAGTCCTGATTCCCGTTTATTTCTGGTGACAAATGAATTATTTGAGTTTAAAGTCAAAAACAATTACCATTACAATGACAGGTACTTCACAGCTGTCGGATCTGAAGGAGATCCAAGCTGGGAAATCAACAGCAAGGAGGAAAAAAAAAGAGAAGGACAGAGTAGCTCTTATCACTCCAAAACCGCACACTTATAAAGCCAAAACCGATTTATCCATTCCAGCTATCTGACTCGAAAACCCAAAACAGGCCTAACATAATACAGTCAGACTCGCCAAGCCGTATCTAACAACCCACAGTAGACTAAACACAGAAAAATGTGCTGGCTGCACTACAGAGTAGACACCATTAAACAGACCAAAGAGGGGCTTGTTTTCACTGCCCCACCACTCTCCCTTCCTTACCCCACCTCACTCCCTCCATCTTCTAAAAGAGACAACAAACAGCTTCAGGAAGACATGAGCAACACGTTAGTGTCAAACAACAGCCCATTATCTGTGAGAAGTCCGACTCGGGCTGTGTGTGTGGGAGCATGTAATAGTCATTGATTCCTGTAGCGTGTTTGGACATCTCCCAGTACCCTTCTCTCAGCACATTGCGGGTCTGCGGTCCTGGTAGACAATGACTACAGGGCAGGCGAATGGAAAAAGGGACATATATTCCACAGGAAATGGTGGGCGACTCTGTCTGTGGTCACTGTTCATACGTTGCAAGAATATTTCATGAATTCATAGTATTTAGCAAGCATGCTCCATATGCAAAAGGACTTTGAGTGCTCTCTGGGCACTTTCTCAAAACAATCCCGCTCCTAGTGCTTTACTCATCCCGTCCCAAGAGCCTTCACTCAGTGTGAGGCAACAAGATTGACAGAAGGAAAATGTGGCCAGATCACAGGAAGCGTAAAAGGAAACTAAGCTGAGAAGATGAAGTAGCAGACTGGGCCGAACACCCAATAGTCTCTGTCTCTCTCGCTCTCTTTGCATGATGTCTGACCTTCTAAAGAAATGCTTAGCGTGATTCATTAAGGAGAGTCACCAGTGTGCTATCAGATGACCTTAGACAACGGCAGCGGCGAATACACAACAGCGCCTGGACTGCTAACCGCCAGAGGAGCTCCCCTTCCTTCAGACATGACTGCACCCATTCAGGCCTCGCCGGGCCAGCAGAAACCCAATCACATGGCCACAATCAGCCATCAGAGAGATTTAAGCCCCGTCGAATAAATGACTTTTACAAGGGCACGGAGATGAGAGGGAGGAAAACAATTCCTGCGCCTGTGCTCATACATATTTACTGCGCTAGCAAAAGAGAGCGGAGAGGGGCGGTAAACAAGTGGAGGGGTGGGTAGGATGGGAGAGGGATAAAATAAATCCCACAAAGGAGGGAGGGAGTCAACGTCGTCTTTAATTGTGATGAAATTATAGAGCTGCGCTAATCTGTGTGCTGTAATACGAGTCATTTCCCATCTGTGGAGAGATGTGAGTGCTTATTTTATAAAAAGCTTGTTTCTCTATTAGTCATTTTAATGAACGGAGATTACCATTTCGTGCACGAGTTGCGTGTGCTTCAGGATGAAGAATCTTACTTGACATTTACATTAATGGAAATTTTCTTAGGCATGAAATGGGCCAAGAGGTGCTTTTCACCCAGTAAAACTAAGACATATTTGCTCCGTTTCAACACCTAGTGAGCCGCCTACGGAGGCAACATTAAGGCATCATTTAAGGTGTGCTCTTGACACGAAGGCTGTTCAGAACATTATGCAACTTAATTATAATGCATCCTAGGACAGTTTATTTTAAGCCAAACACTAAATAAAACCAAAATGGCGGAAAAAGTGAGAAAAACATATTAAATGTATAAAATGTACAGTAATATCTCATTCAATTCAGAAAAGTAGTATCATTGCATTATCCAATGTTTAGCAACATGCTAACTCCAAACTACTTAAAACAACGGAATCAAAACTTCCATACAGAGTTGCTGTCTATGTAGGCAGCTAACTAGGTTTTGGAACACAACTATTAAGAGGAAGAGGACAACTGAGACAGCAGGAAACCTGATACTCACCGTGTTCTCTGTAGTCAGCAGACCCCGGTTGGTGTTGAAAGACAGGCAGAATGGCAAGACAAAACAGAGATAAACAGAGATAAAAAAAACCAGAGATAAACTGACAATCAGAGTTAAAAGTAGATTTCATCAGCAGGAAGAATATGTCTGATATGTAAACAATACGGCTAGCAAATCATTAGCATGCTTATTTATTAACCTTGCCGATTCATTCAAGCCACAGAGAGTGTCATGTGTAGGTTCAATCGCTTTATACATTCTCCGTTCTTCTCTAAAAATTGGCTACATCCTTAAATGGCAAGCCATGAGAGTAAAGTACTCTTATAAAAGCAAACCTAAGATGGTCAATAATGACAGCAGCCTATAAGAGCTATAATAACAATGAATAGGGTGGGGGGGTGGAGGTTATGAAACAAGCGTTTGATTCACACAAGAGGTCTATATGGCTGAGCGACTTACGTTCCACTCTTTTGGCTTTAAATGAGAGCAATGTGTGTGTCTTACCTCGGTGCTCTAGGTCATGGTGGTTTTTTTCATCCTTCACCGGCAAGTGTGGCTGACTTCCCAGGGCTCCTAGAGCCAACAGGCCCGAGCCAGAGCCGGTGACCGGTGGGATTCCTGGTGGCTGAAGGCCAGAAGGGTGGGGAGGTAAAGCCATGGGGCCGTGGACAGCGTGAGAGAGGTGCTGGGCCTGGAGCTGCTGCTGCTGTGGAGAGACATACAATGAGTGGGCCAGAGGGAAAAGAGTAGAGAAATCCATGCCACAAACTAAACACACAGCTTCTGGGCGGCCAATTCAGAAGCACAGGTGGGGGTACAGGCATATTTATGTCCTCACATACATGCAAGTCATATTTGAGGATCCTGCAAACAAAGCCGTCTTTTATGTTGCTTGGATCTTAACCTGAAAATATAAAATCTTGGAGTGTTGTGGATCTAGTCAGTTTACATTTCAGGTTCCTGCTCAACAGTAACAAACTCGGTGGAATATCATACAAAAAAAGCATGTAAATTCACTCATTACATAATAAAACTCTCACACTCACACACTCTCCAAAAGAGAGTCGTCAAGCCCTATTTAAAATACTGTTTAAAGACAGCAGGCGTTGGAATGCTGTCAGCTCATTGGCTTAAAACCACCTGCTCCTTAGCCCCATCAAAACGTGGGACGGCTATATTTACTCCCCTCACATTTGGGTCTGGTTATTACACAAAGTATGAGTCACTCGAAAAAAACAAACTTTAAACACCACTCCAACAGCAGCTGGGCTCAGCTTTGTGTGTGTGCGCGAGCGTGTTGAGTGGCGGCGGCGGCCAAGAACGAGGGGTCTTGTTCTGGCATGTGTTCAAGCCTCCAATACCTCCAAAAATCGGTATCGGAATCGGCCATGAAAAATCATGATCGTGCATCACTATTAAAAACCACTCAGCATGGGAATAGAGCAGCTTAAATCAAGGTTAAATAATACTTAGCAGAGCCACCAGTAAAGAGAAAAAAAAAAACAACAACAACAAAAAAAAATTCACAGCCTCCACAATTTATTAGCATCCACAGGAATAATGAATTATTCAAATGGCTGTTAGAGCACGTACCGCCCAACTTTTCACAGACCTCACCAGTCAATCAATGACCATTTACGGTGATTCTTCCAGAATCCCGACATGTTTTTTCCCACTTGACGTAGAAAGGGTAGATGTTATTGGCTATGTACGGCGATCACAGTGGTACAACCTTTCAGAATTATCAGCAGGTCATTAATGCCATGCCATAAGTAAATATCAATACTAAAGGCTTATTTATAAGTCTGGAATGCTCCAAAAGCTTGCCCTTTCCAGTGGGTAAATCATTATTAAGATGCCCATCACAGGTCCTTATTCGGGGTGAGTATAATTGCTAACAGCGTTGCGGATTATTTGCACAGCTGGCTGTATATTGAGACTCGGGGCCTTTGAGATTGGCAGGAGAGCGAATGGTATATAGAAGAACTACGCTTGGGATTTGAACCTGCAACCTTACCCTCCCCAACACAACAGCGCTGCCAAGCCAATTATGAACTGTGCCTCAGAGTGTGGATCTGTGAGGAGATGTGATAAGGGAGTGTGTGTGAGGTGTGTGTGTACTGAGTCACTAAGCGTGGGTGGTGGGCGCATGTTCTTGAAGAGGGAATGAAAGGGCAAGAGAAAAGGAGAGAGATAGTGAGACAAGAGTGGAAGAGAGTGATTGTAAGACAGAAACAGTGTTGGTGCTAGAGTGTTCATGTGAATGTGTCAGGAAGTGAAATGAACCGCTAGTGTAAAAAAAAAGAGGGGGAGGGGGTTAGTGTGTGTGGCTTCAGAGATGACGACTGACCACATGGGAAATTAAAGAAGCCGTTGATTCACGGGGGAGAACCCTCCCTGCTCATTCCAGCTAATGAGCCACTGATGTGTAATATGCATGGACAATAAGAGAACCCTCATTAGAGACCCGGCCATGAAGACAAGAATATAAAGAAATAAAATGTCTCCAGTAATTTAATATTCCTGCATAAAGACCATCTCAACTAGTGCTAATCTCTCCCTCTTACAGCAAAACAATGAATGCAGGCCCAGTGTGAACAATTAACAAAGAATATAAAAAAGATAAGTGGCTAAATCAGACAAGCGCCCGCTTCTATTCTCAGGTGTGTATGTTAAACAACCCCATCCTGAGTTTAGTGCTGTAACCATGCAACATGCAGGCCTGAGGGAATTCAAAAATATAAAGCCCCATGATTTGCCCTCCTGGAAACAAACACACTTAATTGGGCCCACAGCACAAGTTGGGGCAGTCTTAATAGAGATCTATCCATACATCCACAGCAGACGACTTATGGTAAAACTGGCTGCCCACTGGCTGGGCAATATAGAAAAAACAATTCTATCTTGATGTTGTTGTTTTTTTGGCCTTTGGGCAAAATTCAATACATATATCTATAGTATATCTATATATAGTTGTTCTGACATGGCTGAATTCTCTTTTAATTTGAAGAATCGACATTTCAAACAAACAGCCAATTAAACTGGCTCAAATGTATAAGTAAAACAGTAATTATCCAGTAAAAATGTTTTCCATTGCTTTTCATTAAATAAACAGAAGGAAAATGTAGGCTATTTATTTTTATAAATGCAACAATACAACAGAACATTGTAGGAAAAACAGCTATTTTTTACTAAAACATTTTGAATCAAACTTACCAACTCTAATGCCATATATATTAAAGAGTCCAGTGTTTCCCCTGCCATTATATTAGGGGGGCGGCCCTCCCCCCCAAAGGCACCCCCACCCCCCTTGAAGGTCAAGTAAATTTTATTTTCTCCATAGTGCCAGATCACAATAGAAGTCAATTAAAGTTACCTTTCCTATAGAACAGGTCTACACCTTGTTCTTTTATTAAAGGGGTCATATGATGCGATTTCAAGCACACAAGTGAGCACACTCCCACTCCCACTAGTATTTGTGAATATTAAGCCGCAAAACGACTATTTAAATATGAATTCTGCGTGTCTCTATGTTAATGAATGGCGCAGACGCGCGGTTTTGTTTACTACTCGTACTGAAGCACGCGTGACGCTTCCGGTGATATTAACATCTGCCATCTCACTAATGAAGACATAAATACATGAACAACATCTCCAGAACTGCTCTGAGAGTCACTTCTTGAGCATTTTACCATTTCATTTGAGTAAAACTAGCGTCATATCATATAAACACAGGAATGCAAAGGTATTCACGGCAACCCGTCAAAATAAAAGTTAGGTTTAACTTGAAGACATTGCGGTAATGACTGTTTTATGCCTTAAAAAATTTAAATACACAACACAGAATATCTGAGGGGAAAAAAATCATTAGGCTATTGTAAGAATAAATGAAACAATAAATGATGTTAATGCTTTCAAATAATTAGACCTGTTAAAACACAGAATTTGGTAACAATAAAACACAAGGTTGGAAAAAATAAAACATTTCATAGGGCCCTAAACATGTAATTTTTGTTAAACTTTTGATAAATTGATGTTAAATTGTTTAAGTTTCATGATTTTAATTAATTAGACATGTTTTTTGATTAATACAATTTAATTTAACCATTAAAAAGGAGTCCAGAAAAATTAAAATGGAAAAAAAAACAGAACCCCCCCCCACACCCAAAGCCGTAAACCTAGGGGAAACACTGGAGTCATTCAAAGACCCTATTAAAAGTCACAAGACAAGGAGGGATCACAAACTAGTCTAATGTCACGCTCTATGGGAAACTTAATGAAGAAATAAAAAGCGGATTAAAATCAACAAGATATTCACTGAGGCTTAGTTTTATACAGCCAGCAAATAAATATTCAATACCACTAAAAGCTTCAAACTCAACCACAGCCTATAAACTTGTGATAACCAGAACAGGCAAAACAGAATAGGGAAGTATGTGGAGAAAGAACTGAAGACCATATAAAACGTGGATAGAAATGCTTATGCTTTTCTAAAATAAATAAGGCTAGGGTAGATAAACACACAAACTGTTGGTGAGGGCAGAAATGCTGAGCTGCCGGAGGAGGCCATCTTAACACCTCTGATCAAAGTCATAGCACAGCAGAAAAAAAGCCGCTGCCCTAGATGCATCCTATTACCGGCCCTGAGGTTCATCAATAAGAGATGCTGGTGGTTTCTGCTCTGAGAGAGTATTTGTGTGTGTATGTGTAGCTCACACCTCACCACTTCCTTATACTATTTATGAGGACTCTGGCACCTGCGTGAGTGCACACACATGGCCTACTGTGTGAATTACGAATGTCCAATTCAAAGAAAAAAAAAAAAAGAAAAAAAAACTCTCAGACAAGCAAGTATCTTTTCTGCTTTTCAACTTTTAAATGGCTCCTAAAAGAATATGAGTCATTAAAGTTGGTCTGCTGTATCAAAGCTATCAGACGGTAATCCTTTCTGAAGATAACGTGGCATTTAAGAGCGACCATATGACTGCCCCGTTCAGACCTGATTCCAGGAATTATCTCTGAGTGAGTGTCAATGCTCAGGATCTAATTGAATTCCGATGTCAGACAACACAAACCCACCCTCAAACCTTCACCTCACCATTATCAGATTCTTCAGCTGTAGAGCAATTCTTAAGAAGGTGAATCAAAACAGGTTCAACCTCTGTAATCAGATCAGAGCAAGCCTTACTACTGGATGTACAGAGGTCAGATTTGTTTTTCACTACATATTGATAAGGATCCAGGTCACTTGCCCCTGATCAATAAGTGACTGTTAGAAGGCAGATGTGGGCATTTCTAGGAAAGGAATAGCTGTAGTAGCTCAGGGATATGTGTGAAAGATCCTATTTGTCTTTAATTCCCAGCGCAATCCAGGTCAGCAAAGAGGAATGAGACTCCCCTGTAAAACCAGACCTAATTAAAGGTACCCAGGCTCTAAAGAGAGCACTGAACAACTTCTAGATGCAGACTCAGGGGACTGAGGATGCTAAGCACACTCATGCCACATATAGTGGAGACTAAATAAAACTTGTTCAACAGTGTCCGGCTGCACATTAGATAAACAATAATGTGGCTATGGGCCAAGAAAACGAAAGCAATGAAATACAACTGAGAACTAATCAGAGACTGTTGCAAATAGTCATTATCCATCACTTTAATGGACTGGGTAGTTAACTTTCCGTAATTCTCTTTTTGAATCATTTTGTAAAATAATTTGGTAAATGACAGAAAGTTTATGGTTAACGCCACCTCTGACCTTAAAATACCTATAAATATATACACTTCCTCACTCAAGCCACAAATACATTTAATCAGCACATGATGCATGCATATAGCTTTAAAACATTAAAAGGACATTCATTATAAGGGCAAACCTGCACATGATTGAAATAAGCTACTAATTTCAAAATTAATTGTTAAATCAGTTAATAGGGTTATTTTGCATCTACAACAATGCAGGTTTGCCCTGTTCTTAGGGTCAAATAAAGTAATTAAAGGGGTATACACACGGTGAGAGGCAGATTGGGAAGTCCACGTACCCCGATGATAGCATTCAGTTCAGTCATTGTCACTTGCTTTGCACGTTCAACAGCTTGTGCTACTTGCTGTTGGTGCTTCAAAAGGGAGAGAAAATGTGGTTAAATTTTAAAAAAGTCAAAGCAAATTCAAAATCCTAAAAGTTTTTAAATGATAATAATAAATAGTACAATTTAGGACAAAAGATATGGTTTAAGTGTCCTATAAAGCTTGAAATACTGCATCTAAAACTAAAATGAAGCTTTGGAAATTCAGATAAAGCTCACCTCTTGTGACAGAAAAGGCATAATCTGGGCTAGAATCGCATTGAGCCTTTTGGCAATCTCGGTCTGGAAGAGGAAAAGAAAGAGGGAAAGTTAAAAAAAGGGTTAATTTACTTCTGTTAAAGTGCACCACTAAGCCTTTTTTTTCTGTTTCCCAACGATTAAGCCAATTACCACGGCAATCAGAACCGCTTGACTCAGCACACTCCAAACTGCGTGATATTGACATGTGAAATATTTAAAACATTACGAGAGCCCAGGGGAGAGAGAGAGCACAGCTGCGATGAGTGTATACTCCAAACCACACGAAGAACGAGCCAGATACACTGGAGCTGTGTTAAGAGCAGCACTGCACTTTAGCTGCCATCAGCCTGCAGGTACAGTCTACTAGTACACAAGACTTTCTTTTGCCCTCTCAGCTTCACATTTACACCTCAACCATAATCACATAATCTGGAGATTTACTACTAATCACAGGAGCGGCTTTACTGACGAGATGAGCATGAAAATTGCATTCGATTTTTTGCCCAGCCCTAATTCTTTATAAGCGATATAGTATGACGTATACCTTGAAACCGGTAATCGGCCCATGCCTAATGACAAATATACGATATATCATGGAAATATTTTCATTTTGCTGTCACGAGTGCACGTGCCTTTCTGCATGCGATTCTCCGCTAAACTTCACAGATTTCAGTGAACGAGCGCCTAATCAAAATATAATGCAATTAACTTGTGCTTTTGTTTTTATTTCTTTTCATTTTTAGTTTAGTAAATATATGTTCTCCTTTAAAAGGCATTATTTTTGTTTTTAGATTGTAATGTTAGAATGTAATGTGATTTTAGTGCCTTTTTTGCACATAGCCTACATGGTTATTTTTTTTACTATATTCGTTTTCATGGCCTTTAATATAAACATTGTTTCATTGGACAACATTGGGCAGGATGTAAATAAAAAAATTAATAAAATAAAAATAAAAAATATATATTTTTAATCCAAATAGAAAAATGTAAAAAATACAGAGCTATGATTTTTTTGCCATATGGCCCAGCCCTAATTACCACTATCATGTAATTGCACTAAAAAGAAAAACCTTCAGAAGTTGATTTTTCACATGTCTCCACAACAAAATGACTGCCAACTCCTGTTGTTTAGCAGATGTTAAATAATGCATGTCCCTGAGGACATGTTGGAAGCAGACAGATGTGATAATAGACTTTAAGGATGACCACAAAAAAGCTGTTTTATAAATCCCAAATATATGAATTTCCACCATCCAAAAATTGTACACACATGGTCTAAATAGCAGTCAGAGCCAAAAGATTTTCAGGATTTGAGCTTCAGTGCTTTTATAATAATAATAAAAAAAAAATACTACAACAGAGTACGAGGGAAAAACACATTTAATCACATCATAATCAATTAAAGTTAAACAATGCACAAATTATTTAAAAATTGGGCCCAAATGCCTGTAAGAACACTGACACATTAACATTTACGTTCCAATGAGCCTTTAAATCAGAACATAAAATGTTCACATCACAATAACCTGTCACTTCTGACTAATGAACAAAGGTGAATTATGTCCAGACCTGTCAGGAGCTGAGGCCTATTTTGCCTTCTCCAGACTCCACCTTTTTCATTTTCTCAGCAACCCACCTCCCCAAGTCCCCCCTTCATCTAGCCCACTGCAGGGACCCGACCTTCATTCTCTCTCCACCCGCCTGACCGTTGCCATGGCAACTGTAGCCGAGCAGGCCCCATCTCCTATCGCGCGCCGATCATTATGCAAATGGTACCTCAGCTTGACCGTAACAGCCTGTAAAATCATATTACGTGCACACAGGCAGGTCATTAAATTAAATTTTCGGCCTGTCGATCGGATGCGTACCGCACACGAATGGTGGATAAAAAGGCGAGCAATAGCGGAGGATGATGTGGGGTCGTTGTGAGAACACATGACAGTAAAAGCAGGGGTGGGGGCAAAGCCAGGGCTCTCCACCCAAAGACTAAACGCAGCTACAGTAGGATGTACTCCATCCCTCTTCCTTTCCATCATCAGACGCCAGCAGGAACACAGCACGGCCGACATCACAGCCACTTCCAGTGATGAAAGGAGCTCACATCACAGGTCTGGCACTGGCTTTGCCTGAGACCAAAGGAGAGGGGGAGGAAAGCCTCTGAAAAATAACTCCGCTACAGATACATCATCTATAGAATTTATGAGGCTCAGTTCAACCCAGGGCCAGAACGGAGCACAAACACATCACAGGGATTTCGGCTCTATTTTTCATTTCAATAGCAAACACGAAGTGTTGCGCCAACCAGGAAATTATTTATAACATATTGCCCAAAATGCCAAGCGGTTGCAGGAGTCAGACACAATTTTTTTTTTTTTACAAGATACTCTGCAACACCCGAGAAATTTTCACTTGTTCCCATCAAAGGAATACAGACGTGTGTCGGGTCAAGCTATAGGCAAAATATGGTTGAGTAAAGCAGACTATTAAAAATACTATAGCAGACCATATAACAAGGACATGCGGAGCATAATCTAAGTTTATAGATATTAGCCCATATCAAAAGCATGATGTTACATCAATATGGAAAAAATCCATGTAATTTATGAAGACACAATATATCTTTGACCCTACTGATGTTAGTTTAAATTTCAAAGTAGTTTTTTTTGTGCAAGTGCTTAAGACACTTGCAGACTATAAAATTGCAAATTGGAGCTTAGTTAGAATTTTCTTAAAACAAAAAGGCAAACGCAGGTTAGAATGACCCAATGGATATGGATTAAAAAAAGTCAACAAATAAAATAAAATAAAATAAAATAAACAAAAATATGAATAAAATAATAATAATAATAAATGAATAATGAAACAGTCAATGTAATCTAAAATCAATCTATACTGTTGCATCCCAAATCAGCTTTATACATTCTCGAAAGCTATAGTCAAACTTGGTGTGACAAGACTGGGTGTTGCATTTCACCAAAGCAACAGGATCAAAGCAGGGTACAAGTTTAACTTTCAGACACCCAACTACACTCTGGAAAAAACTACTAGAAGAATGCATCAACAAAAAATGCTGGTTGAAAAGCCAGCTCAGTGTATAATCCTTATTTGCCGAGATAAACCGCGTCAATAGCAGCCTAACATTTGACAGGATTTGCTGAGAGGCCTGGAGAGCATCGAACACATTCCTTAAGGGCTTAACGCGATGTTGACAGCTGGCCGAGTGAGGTCAAGGGTTGCCTTATCTGACACTCACTCTAAAGCTTCATGCTTTATCTTGCAAAAACAATCCCGCTGTCGGGGGAAAACATGTTCGACGGCGGTGACGTACACAAAAAGCCGGCATACACTGCACATAATGTATGAATTTATGATGAAAGCCATGCTGTGCATTGAGCTGGACAAGCAGAGCTTTTAGCTACAACTGCGGATAAAAATAGGATGTCACTTTAAGCAGATGAAAGCCTGCCTCTTAAGTGGCGAGCTTCACGCTCTGGTACACAATTACAGGTACTCGGACCTGTCTAGCACCATTTCAAGAGCACTCCAGGGCCAGGCTGTCAATGGCATACTGAAAGCTATTTGTCTGTTGCCATCAGCGCCAGCGGAATGGAGTGAGACACTGATGAGCATTGAATATAGAGTAAAACAACTGCCCCTTCCAGGCATGTGTCTCCATCACAAACAATACTTGACCTAGCTGGGTTGATGGGTCCCTGTATTCTGCCGGGGTGAGAGTGTGGTAATGCTCTCTGACAGCCTCATGCTCTGTAGTAAAGGTATAACAAGGTCTATATATGTGTGTGCCGGAGGTGAGGGCACAAGCTTAACAGGGTTGTTAACTTGCATCGCTGTTGATAACTGGCATTAAACTTTACCTGCATTGATCGGTGTTAGTAGAGCTGCATGGGTGGCCGGCCTTTGATTTCTATTGTGGGTTTTTTTTTTTGTCGTCCCTCAAATATTCAGCCTTTCCAAACAGCCCTGTTACAACAGCCCTGCTCTATTATGCATATGTTTGGAGTGTCATTGTACAGGTTCACCTGGTTTCATGGCCTAACCACCATAAACTGTGACGGAGCGGATCTGTTTCCCAATCCCTTCTCCTCTTTAACAGAGGCTTTGTGTACTCACCTCACTGAGCCAGTCAGTTTGCTTTGGCTCACATAGAGAAGGACAATCCAGCTGTTAGCAAACACTTCCTAGGGCACCCCTTATAAATCATTTATCAGCGTCCCCGTGTCAAGCCGGGCTTGACTGGCTCAATCTGGGTCTGACAGCGAGGAGAGGGGAGGAGATTCCCTCGGAGTCTCACAACAGGTGAGAAAAAAACTCACAAAATAAGCCTCACTGTGAGTGCACCTCAGTCATCACAGTGGCTCATTGACGTGGAGCAGCTGCCATTACAGCTGCATTACCTCCCTCGCTATGGCTGTCTGCAGGTATCAGACGCAAACGCGCATCTTGAAATCCGCATTACGCCACGACTGTTTAAAATACAAAGCACCCTGAGACAACCGAATGGAAGAGGAAACGGATTGCCTGACGGTCGGAATTAAATCCTCAGTGCTGAGAATAATGGGGTGTGGATTTTGTGAGTTATTTTGTGAGTTCAATCTTCGCTAACTCGGTTGGTTAACCACTCCCCGCCTGCCATCCGCTCCTGGGTTCAGTTTAACCCGGATCAACAGACCTGTATAAAAGGGTGGGATCTGCATGTTTGCTTACAAACACCATTACCTCCCTCTTCTTTAGTAGGTTAGAGGCAGCGTCGGATGAATTATTCAATAGTGCATCCATGGGCTCTGTGGTGGTTCCTGATAAAAGTCAAGGCGCTAAAATGGATCAGTCGATTAACCTATTTACACAAGGCCAGCCCTTCCACCCTCTACCCTTTTACTCTCACTCCTCTGCCCCTCAGCTGCCAGTTGGGAGATAAGTGGTTAACAGGAGGCATCGCAGGGGCAAGGGGCCTGACAGACAGAGGAGTGCAGAAGCTCTCACTGTGGACACTGATGGATCGCTATCCACCAGCTCCTCCCTGATGCCATTAACCTTCATAAGGTGAAGAAGGGGAGCAGGCTGAGAGAGCTGGGTTGTCTCTGAGGTGGCCTAACTACATCTGGTGCACAGCACAATCTCATTATTATCTAGGGGACAGAAAATGTGCGATGCGTCACAATATTGTCAGGACATATCAGATTAGTCTTTGTAAATACGGTGGAAGAGAACCCTAAATTTGAAAGACAATTTCAAAAATGTAAGGTGGACAAAAATTTGAATTAATCAATAAAAAATTTATCAATAAAATCATTAACGCTGCCCTGCATTTAAAAAAAGGCTTATTTGCTAAATATTATTTGCCTAATCTTACCTAAAGCTGAATTCAAAAATATCAATAAAAACTTCCCATCATGTAGTTTTCATGCACTGTCAATGCACTTAGCAAAAAAACAAAAGCAGTCAAATAACAAAAAGTATTCAACATGTATCATTTAAATTACAATCGGCAAAGGTGTGGAAAATATGTTCAAATACTCTAATGTCAAAGAAAGTTACATAAACATAAGTTTATAAATAGATAATCTGTAAAATATGTAATTTTTGGATGTAGTAAAACATCCACATATGTAGCAGAAAAGATCAGTGACATGTTTGCATTTTCTTCTGTCACTGGCAATATTTCTAACCTTGGAATCAAGATTAGGCATTAACAATGTCTTCAGAGTCATTCTTACATGTAAAAATGGGCTGAGAATTAAACAAATTGTTCTATCCCGGCTCAGAGGAAGATAGGAATCATGTCTTTGAGGCAGTTTTTCTGTGCTTAAGGGATAATAAAAGACTTCTTCACCTTACAATGGTTGTCGAAAGCAAAATTTCTGAAATGCACATCATATTTTGTGAGAGAGTGTGATGTGCTAAAGCAAAACAAAGCAAAGCAAAACTATTTTTGTAATCAGCACCCCGAAATTAGAAAAAAAAAAAAAAACAAGTATTGGATTTCATTCAGCAAATATGATGCAGAGTGTATTAGTTGCTAATAATATGAAAATAGTTGATTAGTCGGTGCTGTGCTCGGATAACGGATAATTGTCAGTGATGTCACTTTGTAGAAGTAAAAAAATAAACTATTTCTGGGGGAAGAACTGAAAAATGGCAGAGGCGAAAAAAGGTCACAACACAATTTGCCCAGCACTTCAAAGAAGGTCATAATAGGTCATATAGTTTCATGTGGAACAACCTGCCTATCTCAATTTGAGCAGCGGAGTCTTTAGCCATTTTAAAAAACCGTCTAAAGACACATCTTTTTCACCAGCACCTGACCAATTAATACTAGTACTTACCTACTCTATTCGCTCTAATTTATTTGAAATTTAAAAAAACACACTGTGTACTGTGCTAGACTAACTGAGCTGGCTTTAGGCACTTATTGGAAAAGACATGGAATATCCAATTAAATCAAAGAGATAAACGACCAATTAATCAATTATCAAAAATACATGTTAGTTGCAGCCCTAGAGAAAATGTAGGGTAAAAATTGATTGGAGGGGATGAATTTATGGTGGTCTATTTTTCCCTTAGCGTAAATTTATAAAGGGTGTCTTAAATGTGCTGACATAATAGGGACTCCTCAGACTCTGCTCCCTTTAGTCATTAAATCACACAGCTCCTCCTGCCAAAGTCCTGACTTTAATCTTATCAAAGCTGTCTGACCACACTCTACTCAGCACAAGCAGGAAAAGAGACTTGACTCTGTGTGTGTGCGTGCTTGTAATGTCCTGACTTCTAGCCCGATTCTAACTGCTGCTCAAAAGAACACAGTCCAGTCTCTCTCATCATCTCTACGGAGTGCACTTCACTTGTCTCCTAACACACCAGTGTGACTGCATTGACTGACATCTACACACACAGCGCATAGATCCTCTGTGACTTAGAGATTGTGTGAACAGGGATCAAAGGACTACATACCTGTTTGTGCATTTCAATGTTCAGCCCATAGGACATCTCATAGTACTGAAAGAAAGTGAAATGAAAAATACTCAGTTTTTTTTTTTTTTTCAATCCGAGCCACATCAAACATTTTCACCTCACATCACAGAGTAGGGAAAAGAAGGTCAGATTCTGGTGAAACATGAGGGAAAAAGAGGAGAACAGGTTTTTGATGCACACTTCAAAATCATGTCCCATAACAGTGTCTCATATCTGCACAGCTTCTCCTTCTTTGTATAATACTGATGAAAGTACACAGTGGAAATTCCACTTGGATTTTAGGTCAGAAATCCCACGTTTAGAGCAATAAAATTCTATATATTTCACATAATTTTTAGCCATTTAATAATAATTATGATGATTTCTCACAAAGAGCTATTTCTAGCAAAAAAAAAAAAGGTTGCATCCAGAAAAAAAACAGGGAAAGAAAAAAAAAAAAAAACATAAGGAGAACAGAAATGTGTATAAGTTTTCCACTAAAATTTTTATCAAATTTCATGATTTTTACAGGACTAAAAGGCACTGTTTCCATCACTCTGGGAATCCTGTTTGTATAATCAAAGTTTAATCTATATATATATATATATATATATCTTATGATTTTGTTCTAATAAAACCTAATAAGTTTTTAAAAATTTTTAATAATAATAATAAAAAGATCTCCTAATAAAAAGACCCTGATCTCAGTGCAGTCCTGCAAGCCTAGATTCTGACACTATCAACTCAAACAGTCAACGTGGGGATTCTACAAGGGTGTTTACCTAACCTCTCCTCCTCCTTTCTGACTGACATGCTTTTTCCTGTGAATGGAATGTTTAACTAGTGTCCCTGGGTATTGGTTAAAGTCATCGCTCACGTGTTTACACAAGATAAGAGAATACACTTTCACAGTTTAGCCTTGTTTAGTTACACCACGAAAAGCTTTTTTTCCTCTCCCTATCATAAATCCTAACATGAGGTTGTTTTGATCTCTTGAACATCTACGATTGAATTTAGGGCTTTGGTGTTGCGTAAATGATTAAGCCCGTGATTATGATTAACACTGAATTTATGTAGCCGTTTGTTTGTGCGTAAAATCTGGTTATCAAAGACAGAACGCTGCAGAGACTTTGGATTTCTGCTACGATTGAGTATTTTCCCACAGACGCCTTTGGCACTCCTCCATCACCCCTCACCCAATTTACGGCCATGCATTTGTCTGAGAGCAGCGTCTCCTTGGAGAATAATCAGATCCACACACAGAGGGAGGTAGAGAGAAGGGGGAGAGAGAAGAGGGGACAATGCTGTGGTCATTGACCCCTACGGCTAAGGGTTGGTGTATGAAAGGGCCCGAAGCTAAGAGCAGTCAGTCAGGGCCCTTTAATAAAGCAGGAGGCTGAACTAAAAGCACCAGAGGGGGTTTCACAAACACAATCTAAAACACACACATACAGAGAGACACGCAACAAGGCATCTACCTTCACCCCAGCTACTAGCTAATGGCAGCTTACATATTGGCTAATCTTACCATGACATAATGGCGCTGCATCTCGGTCTTCTCATTGGCTAGTTTGTCGTACTCCACTTTAAGACTAAGAGGAAAACAAAGCACATCAGTTACTGAACAGACATGTGTTTTCACTGCTTACACACACAAAAATAATCCACACTGCAAACATGAAGCTAAACAAACAAGTGCACATTTTTACAGGGGTTCATTTAAATAGTAAAATCAATTTTAACACTTTAATTTAGAAATCTCCTGGTATTAAAATTCTGAACAATAAAAATGATTATTTTCATATTATCAAAAACATTTATTATTTCATATTTGGGCCAAAACAATAATTTTTATATTATGGTCGATATTCAAAATATGACTGTTTTCTAAAACAATAATCATAATACATCATATATACATCTAATAACAAATTAATCTCAAATCTTTCAAATTTTGTAATGCTAAAGTTATTCACTGAAATTTACTAAAGAAAAAAAATACCTGACTGAAATAAAAACTTAATTTTAAGTCCTTGTTGTAACAGGAAAACATCCTTTTTACAAAAATTTAGTTTTAAAGGGTAAATCTTCACTGTAATCACACACTATCACTTTAAAATTAACATTAAATGGTGGCTAAAATAGTGTAAAAACAGGCAGGGAAAAAAAACGTGTAAAATTAAATATCCATAACATATCCATTACCTATATGGTGCCAATACATCACATGCTCCAAACAATTTTTTTTTTCACCACACACATTTAAACATGAAAAATTAGATTTAGCTTTCCTCCCTTTCGCTCGTGAAACACAATTAGGCGAAGCGGTAATTGTACAAGCTACTTTACGGCCATATAACTCTAAATTATTACCTGTGATACTGGGCTTGCAGGAACTGAAATTCGTCTTTGATCCTGTCACAGGACTCCGCCACTGTGAATTTGAAGCCTGGCTGACCAGGCTGGTGGGGCGCCTGAAAGACAGCCATCACATCAATCAAACTCAATTACATCCTCAGAGAACCAAATTTGTTTTCCACCGACTGCAGAGCGAGGCTCTAATGCATTCTGGGCCCTGGGAGATCAGCTCTAATATTTCAGCCTGAATGAGGGCTGGGGTGACATCCATGCTACAGTGACATCTGGGAGATAGCTGAAACACCAGTAGCTTTCTGACAAAGGAGTGGGGGGGGACTTTACAGATCTGGGTCTGCCGTTTTAGTGCCTCACATAAACACCAGCGGGAGAAATGGGGTCACCTCGCTTGGATGGGTCTGAGAGTGCCAAACTGCGCCTGTTAAAATGCTGTTGTTTTCAGCCTCACTCTCTCTAAACCAAGTGCTCAGTGAAAAACATGAAAACATACTAGAGAACAAAGACGATTTCTTTACCATACAATGTCAACTACTTTATTGACAAGAGGCGTTATGGGTTTTTACCCCACTTTTGAGTGTGCTTCCAACCGCCCTGTTCTTTCACTTCAAAGCATTATCACAGACACCAGTGCTTAGCAAATCAAATGGAGGTGCACATCAGGATGTCGTTCGTCATGGACGGGCGGCTCTGCCCTTGCTCTCCTGCTAAACTGATGCAGATGTAGCAATTATGTTCCATATCAGTTCAAGATGCACTTACCGGATGCCGGCCCTGTGGATACATCTTGAAATGTATCCTTGATTTATTGGAGGTCTATTTGGTGGGGGTGTCCACTGGCACGCCACTGTACTGTAAAAATCAGCCGGACACGAAGCCCACTGGACGCTGGGGGCAAAAATCCTCTCAGATCTCTGCTGCTGGAGCCCGAACAATGAAAAATAAACACACAGACGAAGAGGAGACCGTTACATTCAAACAGAGGGTTAAAACCACGGTTGGAAATTTAAACTTGCGGTTGAGAAGAACTCTATAAGAGCGTTCATAACGTATTTTCACCTGCACTTTTATAAACAACTCAGTTCATTGTGACAGGAAAAAAAACTACATGCGGAGCGCTCGAGCGAAACAACAGCTCCTCTACTATAAAAGAAAAACATGAAAATTAAGAGAGAAAAAAATGTGTTTTTCTTTGTGTGGCTGACACTTTGACAGGAGCTCATCTAGCACTTCACATTACTTGAAAGAAACCGAATAATAAGACCGTAAATGAGTCGACAAAGTGATAAGTGAGGAGCTCAGTCAGTGTACGAGTGTGTGAAGCGTTTCAAGTCTTGGTTGGTTGGATAACAAGCTATTGTCGTTAGCTAACCTGCTAGCCCACTGTACCTGTCTTTGTGCGTCCGAACTGCCGAAACACTTCCACTGTTCCAGTAACTTCTGAAATGTTAATCACTGCTTCAATATCTGAGAGAAAGATATGGTTCCTGGTGGACGCGAACGGTGGCGAACATCTCTCGTGTGCTCGCTCTATCACAAGAAGAGACTCGATGAGAATCAGCTTCTCCGAGGCAAAGGAATAAAGAGACGCCAAACTCCACGGCGCGAAAAATGTTCGTGTAATCCCCAGAAAACACTGCCAAAAATATACTTCCGAATTTGAAGAGGTTTGGAACGTTTAAAAGTGTAACGTTGTACTTCGCCGCTCGAGCATTTCCCTTTCGTCCAGCAATGCAACCCTGTGCCACACACAGACAGTCTACTGACACGAGGGCTGAGCCACTGAGAGAGCACCTCCTGCTAGCCAATCAGATGAGAGAACCGAGAGTTTTGCCCTGCCGGCCAATCGCTGGGCCGTGTCCCCACGTGGGGACTGCATCCTGATGAATGACATCATACTCGCCATTTTAGATCAGAACAGGTAGCTCGTAATGCAGCCGTTGAACATTTCTAGGTATTTTTTAACAAAGTGGTCCGATGCCACAATAAATGTCTTTGTTTGGAGATCTAATACACTCACAGTATAGACACTGTCGAATAGTCGTTCTGAGCGGAAAAAACATCAACAGAGTGTATTAAAATCACGAGTGTATTACAATCACGATTACTTATTATGTCGGTTAAAACGTTACTGTTTACATAAAGTAAGCATTCTGCTTTAAAGTTTTTAAGAGAACAACAATATATGAAATGATGCGATTACACACGTTATATTAAAGTTCTCGTGTTTTTTTTCTGTATTTTGTGTACATCTGGCTCACGGTTTAAAAAAAATTAAAGTTGGCATTTATAACACGTCATAATTTCCCTTTATCTATTTTGGAATAAGTCTTAAAATTGTATTATTTTCCTATTTAAATAATGTTAGTTTAATCGGTGTTTACAAAAGGACATTCTTTTTCAGATTTTTAAAGCTTAGTGTCCCGATCATAACATCATTTTGCACCCATCGTGTACATCTATACGAAAATGACCAATCATCAAGATGGACAGATAGCTAGCGTTGGGAATACGATGATTGTTCAGGTTTGATCTCCGTGAACAACAGCCTGTCTGAACTCAGAAGAAGCGCCCAATCCTGTGCAGTTTCTTCTGTTGCACCCACGTGGGATCCCTTTGCGGCTTTACAGCTTCTCAGCCAATCACAGAGCAGCATTCATATTCTCTCGACTGCAATTGGACAGTAAAGGTAAAGGCTGTCGTTCAAGAAGGTTTGTTGTCAATCAATACCACGCGGGGTCAAGCGCTGACAAATGCCTGTGCTTCTCGCTCTTCTGCCCGTGAATAGTGCCTGGAATGGCTGCTTAATTAGCTTCGAATGGCTTTTCTTTCCAGTTCAAACAATCTGTTACTACCACGTGGTAATGAGAGCCTTACATAAAACAAAGGAGCAAAGGAGCATGCAAACACTTAATAATATATAAAAAAACATCTCTTCACTCATAATGGCATGTTACCCACATACCAATAAATTCATATTAATGTCATCTACATTTCTGTAAATTAAGAGATCTTAATAGTTATTAGATGTGCATCTACATCTTCTGTTTTTAATCACAAGCATACATTTAAAAGCAACTTCCAGAAAATGTAGCATCATTATAACAGAATAAGGTTTTTTTTGCTTGAAAAATTAATAAAGTATGAAAAAGCAAAATGTTTACAAACAAGCTAGTAAGTATTTAGACAGTATTTACTAGTTTACAATTAGGGCATTTAATATTGTATGTTAATACTGTTATTTATATATATTTTTATAAATATGTAAAAAATTATCAAATTTACTCTCTTTTTTTCTATTCCTATTTTTTACGTTTACTTTCTCCTGGATCTACATATTACATAATTTTCTGATTTTTAATATGCATACCAACATGGATAATCTACAACATATAAACACCAGGGTGGTCTTTTTAGGATTTTTAGAAGAAAAAATAAATCGCAAATCACCATGAATTTCCTTAATGTTTATTCCAGGTCTGGGACTATACTTACAGCTCAGTAATGTGAAGTCTTTAGTATTTATGGACTGTGGTTTTGGTTTTGAATTGGGGGTGTCATGCGTAGAGACACACGTCATGTTCTGTAGTTGGCCTGTGACTGATACTCTTGATTCTGTCCATCCTTTTGATTAAAAAAAATAAATAAATCAGGAGGTGCTTATCAGGGCTGTTCTTTTGGCTGAAAAAGAAGCAGAATGTATGTGTGTGTGGGTGTTAGAACTGGCAGACTAATCTCTCCCAGGCAACCCCCCATCCTGCTCAATAGAAAGTGCTTGGATTTAGAGCAACAAAAGACTAGGCCTAACCCCAGGGAGAAGGCCAGGGCCCCTCCACCCACGCAGCCCTCCTCACTGTTTATTTACACGGAAACCCCAGCCACTGTGAAACTCCCACCCCCCAGAATTTACACATGCCACTATTTGCAGAGGTGCTTTTCATTCTTCACAGAACAAGGATCGCCCGCCCCATTCACAACCTGAGCTGCTGCCCAGTTCCCACACGTACACACACAACCTAAACACATGACTGAAAACAAGCCGGCCGCGCTTACACGTTTGAGTAACTATATGTGCACAGATTCCAGTTATTCAGGTCGTCTTGTGTGTTTTGATGTTTCTCCTTCTCGCCATTACAGATGGCTCTTTCTTGTTCTGGCTCAGCCGTTGTTAAACATACAGTATAATGCTAGTTCATAAGGAGGCTATACATCTTGTGAGCCCCATTAATGTTTGTACGTTGAAAATGAGGCACAGATAAATTGTTGAAACTGCACCAGCATCCGTCACCATCCGATTGGTGCCTTATGCAGATTGCTCAGTATGTGGTCATTAATGTGACGCACATAAAAAGCCAGGGTGAAATGTAAACTCTCAGCCCATAAATGAGTAATGCGCCACGCTCTCCACCACATTCAATCGGAAGATTCCCGCTCATGGAGCATAAAATGGGGAGCTTATTTCCATGATGAGTGAGTATTGTGCCATAGCGCTGTCTCCGGGGCACTGACATGCTTGTGCTTTGGTACCTAAAAGCCAGGAGAACAGAGAGTGCAATCACACACACGCACACACATGCATTCCAAGCCCACAATGGGCCCAGTGTGTGGTGAAGGGAATTGAATGGCCCACAGTGTATCAGGGTGACTCGTCAGGCTGTAATCAATGCAAACAGGATGAAAGGCCTTATCAAAAGGGACAAATGCAGACATGAACAGTGTCGCCAAACAAAAAGGGATGGAGCCGTTGGCAGAGGCTCCGGTCCAGGCTGAATACAGCCAGCAGCGGGGAAACAGAGCCAATTACTATTCTGAAATTCTAATTCTCTGACATCAACAGCCACTCATTGATATCTTAAAGCTTCAAGTACAGGCATTAGCACTACAGGCTGCAAGCAAATCGGAAATGCATTGTCTCTGTGTTGCACTATACACAAATGAGAATGACACAATCTTACAGTACGGTCACATTAGCAAAATTTCAGCAAAATTTGGTGTGCAAAAAAAGGCCATTATACACTGTCAATAGTGTAGAGATATATGAAGCACCTCTCACACAAGTTGCTTTGAAACCACGCCGGATTTCGCACTTATGCGAAACTCCCGATCATGCGGATTCCCAATCAAATGTCTAGATTTCGCTTGCGAAATTTAGCTGAGCAATGGACTGCACCTTTACATTCCGATTGTTTTATACTTAGAATAATAGTATAAAATGATTTCAAATTATTTTATACTTAAAAATAATGTGGAGTCATCTCATTTTCGTATTATTATCTGGTTGTTGCTAATAAATGCAATCCGTCTCATTCCTCAGTGTTTTGATAGCTCTTCAAGCCAAAATCTCATTACACGTGAGTGTCTGAAAGGTACAGCTGCCTTGGCAATTTGCTGGAACCGCCAAGGGTATATAACGCTAGCAGAATTAACAGTAAAGATCCCCCCAAAACCTCTCAACTACAATGACCTTCTCACTGTGTTGTCGTAAAAATCAATAGCCCTGTCTACACTGGCTTTAGAAGAGGCCTAACGGCCACAGAAATGCCTCACGCACACACTCCCTCTGGCATGCTAATATTTCACTACCAGTCAGATGGTCATTTTTTTCTCATTTGGAGGATCTGTTGAGAGTATATTCATATCCTCAGAGCAAGGGTTAATGCTATTCAGCCTGTGACAATAAAATGCTGCAATGAGTCCCATTTTGAGAACACAGCCGCATTAATGACTATTGTGCGCAGCGACTGACTCATCTGTCAAGAGGCTTGTATGCTCCCATTTACAAAGCCTCTCCTCCTTCATAATGGTAACGGCCATCATTTATTCCGCTCAGGCTGGCAGACTGTGTGATATCAAACCCTTGAAGTCTGACCTCCTGTCAGGCATTCTTAGCTACAAAAAGCTACTGAAAGCCTCTCTTGTGCCATTGTTGATTAGCAATCCATTAATACACAGCATCACGTAGCTTTAGGTTAACCGCAAACCAGTGAGATGATGACACTTGAGAATACATTTTTTTTCTCCTACGGAGGGATTCCGGTGTTGTTGTAAACATTGCGAGACCCCGTCTGCTCTCTTGTTAGTGTCAAACCCGTGGCTGAAATGGCAAAAGGGCCCTCTGTTATCCTTGCTCTTGCCTTTTCTCTCCGAGTCACATCTCACTCTAGGCCAGAGCAATGCCGTTAGATAATTGCTAGCGACACTTACTTTGGCATTTACATCAATTTCACAATGATTTTTCTTCAGGGTCGTAAACTTTACAAAAGCCTAGCTCAAATTGTTCCCAAAGGTTGAAGAGCACAATGGGCCATAATCAAGGTGTAAACCCACCACACCTCGCAAGATGATGCCATCAGCATCTTAAAGATAGTGGAAGCTGTTTTTCACACGCCTTCCCCGCTTTGTTGGAAACATCATTGTCAGTTTATGCCCATGCAAGGGTGGGGGGGGAGAAACCCCCCTAAAAGATTAATTCAATTCTAATTAGATTGTGCTTCTCCTGTATTTTCACACAAATCAACACTATCTGTTGTACATCTGCGAAGGTCTCATTTCTTGCGGTAGCAGTTAGATAAAATCAATGGAGTGTGATTGATGTAAGCTTTGTGCCTGACAGTTCTGTGATGAATCTAAGCAAAACTAATTGTCTGACAGATTTCCAGCGTGCGCGCGCGAATGTCTGCGAGCGCCGAGCTGCTGGAAAGAGAGACAGCGGAGCATATTACAGGAACATTGATGTGCATTATTTTGTAGATCGCTTCAAGACTGCA